GGTCACTCCCTCCGCTGCAGTCGGTCGGGTGGCATCGGCTCAAGGGCAGCCTGGGAGCCAAACACTGTAAAACTTAACTTAAGCTTCTTACCGGGACACATTAAGCTCCTGTTGAGCCCAGCTCTGTACTCATTTTTCCACCACACGCCTTGACTTCAATGTTGTTGGAGAAGCGGGGACGGCCACGGCGAGAGCCAAGAGCACCAGCGGCTCCCTTGCTGGGGGGGTCGCGCTGGCGGGGGCACCGTGCCTTGGCCACAGCTTCTGTCACTGCGTGAACTTTTGCATGTGTATCTGTATGAAAAGAAATCTCTTATTTTTGCTAATAAAGACCTCCTAATGAATCAAGCCTCTGTTCTCTTCTTCCAAGCTGTTCACGGGGCTGTAAACCAGCACCAGTGCATAGGGTCCCTGTGCTGGGGAAGAGCCCAGCGGGCAGGGATCCAGGTGAGGAGGAGCATTGAGGATGCATTGCATGCCTTAATGGCCAGGGAATTGAGAAGACCCAAGGTCCTCACATTTAAATGCAAATTTCTGACAAAATTCGCTGGAACAAAACACCCACCAGTGATTTTTTACAGTAGAGAAACACTGGCCCCAAGGTACCCCATGGGTCACCCCAGCCTCTCCAGCCTCTGTTAGCAGGCGTTTCAGCCATCACCCTTCTCAGAGCAGCATTTACAGTTAAATAACTGGTTACGTGCCCGAATGTCATCGATAATCACTGGGGCTTTAACATCCCTACACCTCCCTTCCCCTGACTCACCAGAGATAGCACTGCCGTCTCCGTTGAGCTACCGAGTTGTTTTTAACTTCGCATTTGTTCTCAGTCAGGATGAGGCCTTGATCCTAGATCAGATAGGAGATATTAGCTAAAAACTAGACTAATATAAATTAACAACAGAACTGCTTGCTTTTCCTGTGGCTGGGGCTTATGCACCTATGCACGTGACTCCGTATGCGCGGCAGTTGAATCCCGAACAGAACCGAGCAAGCCGTGCCGGTGGGAATCTGCAGCTCTGCTACTAATAAACCCAGAATTCAACCAGTGTAACCATTTCCAAACTCCAGCTCGCACGGCAGCCGGGGCAGCACCCACCTGGCCACCTTGCTCTTTCACTTCTGAGTCTCTTTTGGTTTTACCGCTCTGAGCCCTTCACTTGTGAGTCCAGCAGATTCCAGGTGTGTAATGGCAGCTGGGTTTTCTTTCCTCACTGCATGAGAAACAACAATTTTTTTCAGTTAACAAGACAATTTCTAAGTCTGTTTCTGCCCAGACTTGAGCCTGGTGTTGGTCAGTGCAAGTGCTGAATTTGCCCCAGGGGATTATTTGGTTCTTAGTAAAAGCTGCACTTAGGAGCGCTGCTGGAAGCTTCACCCCAGGCAGATCTGGGCCGCCTGCTCCCCTGACCCCTCTGCACCGATTTTCATCCCTTCTAGATCACTTTTCTTCCATAGGGAGGCAGAAAACAGCTCTCAGAGCCTGTGTTGCCAGCTCAAGGGAGGGGCTTGAGGACCCTCATGAGCAAAAGCGGTGCCTGGGCTCTGCCCCGCGTGGGGAAAAGGGCAGCATCAGCTCAGCTGTGGTGAATTTTTCAGTAAAGCTCAGTCACTCTGGTTAAAGTAACCACAGGAAGGAAGCAGATGGGATGCCTCTTGCTGCACGGAGAATGAAGGTTTCCAGGTACCTGATGCTACAGGAGTCGTTTGATTCAGAAGAAAATGGAGGCAGAGCAAGTCAGCAATCGGGACGGGAGGGCTGCCTGCTGGCAGGGGCATCAGCGCGGGAGAGGAGCTGGCATGGCGGGGAGATGCAGCTCTGCTCCTCCGAAACTGGGTTGGGAAGGTGGAGGGGCTGCGGAAAGGTGCTGCAGGGCTCTGGCCACGGGCACGGGGTTCACTTGAGGGAGAGAGAAACAAGAGCCAGGGGACATTTAGCGCTAGATCACCACGCAAGCCACGTGCAAAGAAAATCTGTGCCACGTGTCACCAAAACGCAGGGGTGTTTGCATCGTGACGCAGCTCTGGTGGGCAAAAGCACGCAAACACACGTCTGACTAAAGCTGTGTATCATCTCCAAGAACATTTAGGAAGGGTGCTCTGGAAATCCCAGCAGAAGCCATCTGGGCAACCAAAGGCAGCATCTACCATGGAGAAATGACATTTCCAGCAGAGGAGCAATCACCATGATTCATTTCTGGCCGTGTCCTCAGGCAACCCTTTCCCGTTGCCAGGCCAGCCCTGTCCACAACAGTCTCTCCCTGCCAGGACGCACAGGTTTTAAAAAAGGGGGAAAAAACACCCAAGAAACCCCAAAGGGCAGCCTGCAGAGCTGAGACACCCAAGGCACCATCACAGGTCAGCCCTGTGACTCGTAACACCTACGTCAAACCAGAATCACAGCACCAGCATCACCCAGCTCCCAGCTTGTGGCGTCTCGCCAGGCTGAGCCCTGACCTGATGCCCACTGCACGTGTTGGGTGGAACTAACACGTACCAAAACCATCAATATTTGGGGGGAAGAAAACAACAAAAAAAAGGTCTTTTACTACAGTAGCATGACACCATCGCAGCACGAGCTCTGTTCAAAGCCAGTTGAAGCAGCGGTGGGTGAGATGAGCTGAGCCAAGAGCCGGAGCGCTGGGCTGGGGCTCAGCCCTGCCCCTGCTGTGCTGGATCCCACTGGGGCCATGAGAGCCACGAGGACGGAGGCAGACTCTTCACAGTGGTGCCCAGCACCAGGACAAGGGGCAATGGGCACAAACTGAAGCAGAAGAGGTTCCAGTTGAATATGAGGAAGAACTTCTGAAGAAGAGAAGACTGAGAGGGGATCTCATCAACACGTACAAATATCTCAAGGGTGGGTGTCACGAGGATGGAGCCAGACTCTTCCCAGTGGTGCCCAGCGCCAGGACAAGGGGCCATGGGCACAACCTGAAGCAGAAGAGGTTCCAGTTGAACGTGAGGAAGAACTTCTTGACTTTGAGGGTGCCCGAGCCCTGGCTGCCCAGGGGGCTGTGGAGTCTCCTTCTCTGGAGATATTCAACCCCCGCCTGGACGCTGTCCTGTGCCCCCTGCTCTGGGTGAGCCTGCTTGGGCAGGGGGGTGGCACTGGGTGAGCTCCTGAGGTCCCTTCCAACCCCTGCCATTCCGTGATTCTGTGTGATCAGACCCCAGGCACAGCATCCCCCCTGCAAAACCCCATGGGACGGTGCTCCCCTGCACACCCCTTCTGTGTGCAACCCTCTGCTTCTCATGCAACCCCAAAAGCTGCCGAACAGGAGGCTGTACGCAGCGGCGCCGTGCGTTATCCACCATCGCTTCGTGCTGATGTAGTTCTTGCCAATCTCAGTGTCAGCCTGAGGGTTACGGTAACAGCGTAAGACTGTCACATAGGTCAGAGATGGTGGTTTGTTGGTTTTTTTATCCCACAGAAGCAAATGGTTTCCTTGCTGGTTATCTCCTTCCTGAGAGCTCACCCCACTGCCTGATCAGCAGCCCCGGTACCTGGGAGCCTGAGTCACTCGCCCGGCCTCAGCCACTCCTGCCTGCCTAAGCAAGTCTGAGCTTCTCACCGGGCCAAACGCTGCGTCTCGACTGGGTGATGCTGGCACCGCAGAGATTTCCATCTGGTGCAGGCTGCATGGGGTTAAGCCACTTTTGGGGTTTTTAAAAAAGAAAAAAAAAAAGTTTAAATATTAAACCCTAGAGGAAAAGAATTGGAGATTTGGTCTAAATACAGAGGAGGAGGAGGTTTATCAGACCTTCAGTTCCCCAGGGGCAGTTGCACGGCTCTTGAAGAGCAGAGCATCACCGTCAGGCCAGAAACAAACCCGCTGGGAACCGTGAGGCCAATCCAGCCCATTACAATGCACCCAACACTACATAAAAACCCCATTTCTGCCTCCCCGCATGCCCCATCGGTTGGTGCCTCTGGTGCTGCTGCCTTCAGACAGGAACACCAAGAACCACCGCCTGATTTTCATTTTCCTCTTTAGAAAGCCCAGTTGGTCCTTGCCCAACAGAAGCTCCATCTGTGGCTGAAGCCTCACGTTTCCAACAGCCCGGCGCAGGGCAGCGAGCCCCGGGGTGGGCTCCTGTGGCACAGGACCAGCGGACGGGGACAACCCCACTGCGGCCGGCGAAGTCCAGGCTTGCCTAAGTGCACCGTCACGCAGGCAGGGGGTTTCATGGTGAAACCAGCTGAGCCGCGGCGGATGAATCACTGCCAGCGAGCGCCGGAGCGGGCGCATCGGCGATCGTCCCCACTGCATGGCGTCTGCAAGGTGCTGTGCTGCAGGCAGTGACTCACTACTTCCACTTTTTTTTTTTCTTTTTTTTTTTCTCCTTCCATCAGAGAGAATCCCAGCTCGCAGGAAGATGCAATGCCCAGCCGGAGGAAAAGAGAGCATGGATGCTGGGTTTGCACAGCAAAAGTTAATCATTTCACAAGTGCTTTAATTTACTTGCTGCAACTTGTGCACATGGACAAAGCTCCTGAAGGCTCCCGAAGTGCCCGAGCATCAGCTGCCCCCTGGTACGTAAGCAAGTTTCACTTCAAATCAGGAACACGCCAAGAGCGGCAACACATGAGAGCATCTGCTGCCTAAGGGGGCCATTTCTTCTGCTTTTTCTTTTTTCTCTTTAGAAACTTTCCTGAAAGCCAGAAGCACCCTGGCGCTGGACAGCGTGTACTGGCTGCTAAGAAAGTTCTCAGTCATCTCCTGTTGGCCAACACGGGGAGGGCAGATGAGCTGATCCCAGCTGAACGGGTGAAAGTGGCTCCTGAACGCAGCAGGGCAGGCACAGACGTCTCCTCTCGTGGGCTGGGCATGAGAAACAAAACCCCACTGGCCTCTTTCTTGTCATAGGAAAAAAAAAATGTCTCTTGGCATGAGGAAGATGAGCGCCTTCCCTGGGACCCTTCAGCCTCCCAGGGTGCCACGAGGACCAGGGACCTGGCTTTTAGCAGTACAAGGGACCTCAAGCACTAAAGGGGCAAAATCAAAACAAGTAAACTCCGTTTTAACTATATTTAAATTGCAAAAGCTTTCAGAACTTTCCTGATTTCGGTTGTGGTTATAGTTAACACTTGTTATTTAATTTGAACCGGCTGTACCGCTCACCCCACACAGCTCGTGCCTCTCTGCGTCCTAGATTTTAGCAGCACGTGACTGAAATTGGGGCTTTTGTCATGAAAAAGGTCAGGTAGAGCAGCAAAAACAGGGCGGCATGCCCCGGCTGGGCGCACGTGTTACCCAAGGGGAGTGGGGGGAAGCGGCCACGGGTTCTGTTGTGTACTTCCCCTGTGCCTGGGTGACGAGAGCCTGACTAATACCGGCTCCAGGAGGGCATAGGATTACTAAAGCCAGGAGTGCAATGCCACTGGCACCCCCACAGCTGCAATTTTGCTGCTCGGGGGCTTGGTTTCTGGGAAGGGCTCATCTCCATCCCCTGGGGCCAGCATCCCATGGCCCCACGGGCACGGCCGGAGAGCAGGACACCAGCCCCAAGCATCCCTTCAAGCCCAGGGACCCAGAGCATCCCACCTGCAGGCAGCGATCCTCCCCCTCCCCGTGGGGCTCCACTTTCAGTAGCTCAGCAAGTGAAATCTAAGCCCGACGCCGATTCATCTGTGCTCTGGCTTTACCCGTTAAGCGGAGGAGCAGCAGCTCCGGCTGTCTCATAGCGAGAGGGGTGCAGGGGCGGG